CAGTGGCCTTTCCCTGAGGTCCTGTTTAGTACATCTAATGGAATCAAAGTTGTTGTTTCTTATCCCCTTGTGCGAAGATTACACAAATTCCATGAGTTCATGCTCCTCAAGCTGTTTGATGATAAGCAGCGGCCTTTCCCTGAGGTCCTGTTTAGTACATCTAATGGAATCAAAGTTGTTGTTTCTTATCCCCTTGTGCAAAGATTACATAAATTCCATGAGTTCATGACTGGGTGAAGTCTGAGTAACTTCTAATGTCAACTAATAGGGGATTGGTGGAAGGGTGATCTAAACCATTGGTTTTTCGACTGCTAGGACCAGGGGTCGAATCCACATTGTTCACTTTTTTCTAATTAAGTAAAAAATTTTCCATTGGCCCTTGATTCTTTCAAATGTCCAAACCCACCAGCGAGTGCAAGTAACCAAATAGGGCTCTAACACATTTGTAAGTTTTAGAACGAATTTTGACAACTATACCACAAATGTTTCTTTTGAACGAAAAATTGAAATTTATTTCAAGGTGAAATAATGATTATTTCTAACCTTAGGGATGAAATATGATAGGATGAATTGTGAAAAGTAATGATAAACGGAAAAAAACTGAAATAATCGTTATTTCTCCTTGAAATAAATTTCGATTTTTCGTTCAAAAGAAACATTTGCGGTATAATTGTCAAAATTCGTTCTAAAATCATAAGCCGCATTATATTGTATTATAAATAACATTTGTAAGTGCAAAAGTCAAACTGTTTTCACATGGGTAGGCGTGTGGTGCACTTACAGTAAAAGCAGTCACTAACATCTACCCACCATGATTATCATGGCCTGTACCACATGTACTAGGGATAATAATAAAAAAAAATAATGTCAGCTGACAATACTCACAGGTATCTTGGTACGTAGGTGTTTGCCAACTAAGTTGCGTGCTTCATGCAAAGAGATGTTGGGAGGCAAATTGTGCAACATTGTTGCGAGGTGGAGGAGAAACTTGGGGAAGCCGTTGGTGTGTTTGGGGGACAGTTGGAAGGGGGTGATATCCACCACAGTGAGGCTATTCACCAACTCCGGCTGCAACATTCAATCTTCTCAGTACATCAGGATATAGATTCATAGACCAGGGGACAGTGGAAGGATGGTCTAAACCGTTTGTTTTTGACCGCTACGACCCGGGTTCGATTCTGCCATTTTGTTGGGCACTTTTTAAAAAATATAATGTGTTTGTGATTGTAGAACGACATTTGAAAATTATCCCGCATGTGTTTTTTTGAATAAAAAATCGAAATTTATTTAAAGGAGAAATAACGATTATTTCTTACCTTAGGGATGAAGTATGATAGGATGAATTGTGAAAAGTAATGATAAACGGAAATATAAAGTGTCCAGGGATGGGAATCGAACCCAACAGTGTTATGCTTACCTGGCAATTGCCATGTTCACTAGGCTACCCTGGACATATTTTTCTGTTCGTAAATATTTAATTTTTGCATTTATCATTCTTCTTCTTCAAAATTCATCCTTTCATACCTCATCCCTAAGGTTAGAAATAATCATTATTTCTCCTTAAAATAAATTTTGATTTTTCATTCAAAAGAAACACATGCGAGATAATTTTCAAATGTCGTTCTACTTTTTTTTATATAAAAAAAATGCTCCAATGGCTCAGATTCTTGCAAAAGACCAACCCCACCAGCAAGTGCAAGTAACCAAACGGAGCTCTGGTATATTTGTAAGTGTAAAGTCGAACTGTTTTTCAAATGTGTAGACATGTGGTGCACTCACAATAAAAGCATGGCCTACCTCTAACCACCATGATTATCATGGCCTGTACCACATGTACTAGGGATAAGCAAAAAAAAAAAAAATTCTTAGGCCAAAAGTTTATCACAGTCTCCCGTGAGAGACCATAGTTTAAAAACATGGTCATATGATGATTAGTTACCTTTCGGATTATAGAAACACAAGATAATGAGACTAAATCCAAATAAATAAATAGTATGTGAGGTTTCAGTAACAGCATTGTTACCATAAACAGACAAAAGTACTGAATGGATATAGATTAGAAACACAAGGCAATAAGACAAAATAAATAAATAGTGTGTGAAATTTCGTTAACAGCGTTGTTACCATCATCAGACAAAAGTACTGAATGGATATAGATTAGAAACACAAGGCAATAAGACCAAATAAATAAATAGTGTGTGAAATTTCGGTAACAGCGTTGTTACCATCTTCAGACAAAAGTACTGAATGGATATAGATTAGAAACACAAGGCAATAAGACAAAATAAATATTGTGTGAAATTTCGTTAACAGCGTTGTTACCATAAACAGACAAAAGTACTGAATGGATATAGATTAGAAACACAAGGCAATAAGACAAAATAAATAAATAGTGTGTGAAATTTCGTTAACAGCGTTGTTACCATCATCAGACAAAAGCACTGAATTCAAATTGTGCCAATTAGTTTTTACCTTAGAGAGAGCCAGTCTCATGGCCAATCTACCACCAAAGCTATGGCCGACCAAGTCACACTTCTGAATGGACTTCATCTCCACAAAGTTGAGTATGTCTTCTATGACTCTCTTATAGCTGAGATACGGAGTCCAGGGGCTGTCTCCGTGGTTCCGTAGGTCTGGAGCAAGCACCTGGACACAAGTCAGCAATTCACTATTTGACCACTCAGAGTGGTAGATAGAAATTTAAAAATGAGGCATGAACTTTCTTAAATACATGATAAGGTACAATTTGGATTAGAGATTATAAACACAAGGTAATAAGACCAAATCCAAATAAATAAATAGTGTGTGACGTTTCGGTAACAGCGTTGTTACTTATACATCACACACTATTTATTTATTTGGATATGGTCTTAATAACTTTTCTTAAATACAGTAAATCCTCTTTGAAACTGTCACTTTGTTCATTAGTTTATCTTTATTATGGTCAAAATTGCAGGTACAGTAGAACTTACTCCATGAGAGGACATTCTCGCTAGAGGACACCTCTCTACAGTAGAACATACTCCATGAGAGGACACTCTCGCTAGAGGACACCTCTCTACAGTAGAACAACCTCCATGAGAGGACACTCTCGCTAGAGGACACCTCTCTACAAAGGACAGTTGTCATTGCCAAAAAGAATGATTAGGTACAATTATACCTTCATGGAGAAAACTTAAGGAATTAAATAATATAAAATATGGAACTTCCTTATGTTTTGTCCATGAGTGTATAGATTAGAAACACAAAGTAATAAGACCAAATAAATAAATAAATAGTGTGTGATGTTTGAGTAACAACCATTCGTTACTTTTGTAAGCATTGTTACCATCATCAGACAAAAGTCTTCTTTATTGACTCTCTTCTTTTTTTATCTCAAGAAATCAAGATATCTTATCCAAGAAAATAAGACCTAATCCAAATAATTTAATAGTGTGTTATGTTCGGCAACAACATTGTCACCATCATCAGACAATATTTGGATTAGGCCTTATTTTCTTGTATTGTAATCTATAATCCAAATTGTGCTTTATCATATCCAATTACACAGGTCAACAAAACTTAAGGAAGTTGTACCTTATAGCATATATATATCGGGATTCAGAAAAAAACTCTGAGAGATATTTGATGCACAGTGATATATATCACTGCTATAAGGTACAACTTCCTTAAGTTTTGTAGACCTGTGTTATTAGAACCATAAGGTAACAAGAAATATCCAAATTAATGAAATATGTGTGATGTTTTGGTAACAGAGTTGTTATCATCACCAATGTTAATTGTTACAGTTTTGGTTGTTCCTTATTCCCTTATGGAAAGATTATACAATTTGTGAGAGAGTCACAGTCAAGATGGTTGTCAGACAAAAGGTTTTTTTTTTTTTTTGCTTATCCCTAGTACACGTGGTACAGGCCATGATAATCATGGTGGGTAGTTAGCGACTGCTTTTTACTGTAAGTGCACCACATGTCTACACATGTGAAAAGCAGTTTGACTTTGCACTTACAAATATGCCAGAGCCCCGTTTGGTTACTTGCACTCGCTGGTGGGGTTGGACTTTTGCTAGAATCGGGGGCCATTGGAACATTTTTTTTTTAAACAGAAAAAAGTGTCCAATGCGGGAATTGAATCTGGGTCGTACTGGTCGAAAACCTAACGGTTTAACTAAAGTACTGAATGAGAGTGAAAAATGAAAATAGATTCAGTACTTTTGTCTGAAGATAGCAACAAGGCTGTTACTGAAATATATCACACTATTGTTTTACTTGGATTTGGTCTTATTACCTTGTGTTTGAATCAAGTTTTATATAATAAAAATCTAATTTAAATCAAAATCTATTTCTAATGGTTAATTGCTTTTTATATTGTTTATTAAACAATCAAGCCACAACAGGAGCATTGTTACCATCATCGGATGGAAGTACTGTAACAAACGTTACCTAGGAGGAGCTCTGAACCTCAGACAGCATCAAACACTAAAATATGAAAGTACTGTAACAAACGTTACCTAGGAGAAGCTCTGAACCTCAGACAGCACCAAACAACACTAACAAGATTTAGAACAGACCTTCTCAAACCATTGAAGAAGATAGAAAATAACAACAAAATCTACCCCACTTGCCCAAAATGTAGCTTGGCACCTGCAGCTCCAGAAAACAATTTGGCTTGCATTATATGTACTAAACAGGACCTTTGGGAGAGGTCGTTGTTTCTCATAAAACAGCTCTAGGAGGATGAACTCATGGAATTTTGTGTAATCTTTACATAAGGGGATAAGAAACAACAACAACAGTTACAAACAAGTAACAACGAAGATGGTAACAACACTGTCACCAAAATATCACAAATATTTCTTTAATTTGGATTAGGTCTTGTTTTCTGTTGAAGATTGAATCAAGGAAAAAAGTAATTTATTAAGCAAAGTAACTAAAAACATGATGTCAGCATTGCAATATAAAAATGTGGGTGTTGGGAAAACGAGAGACAAAAACTATATACAAAAATGTCGACTGCAGAGCGCCGCCGTGGCTGTTGATTGGTCGATCATTCCTTTAATGTTCTATGAATATTTTGATTGTTATTCCAACATTTCCTTATGTTTCCAATAATTGGATAAGAGACCTTCATTTATACTAAGCATGCTCCGAAAAGTCCATCACCATTTATATGAACATAGAGAATAATACAAGAAAATAAGGCCTAATCCAAATAATTTATTAGTGTGTAATGTTTCGGCAACAACATTGTCAATATCATCAGACAAAAAATATTTTTTATTCTTTTGTCTGATGATGGTAACAATGTTGTTGCTGAAACGTCACACACTAATAAATTATTTGGATTAGGCCTTATTTTCTTGTATTATAATCTATAATCCAAATTGTGCTTTATCATGAACTTAGAGAAGTTATGAGATTTCAAGTCCACACAGATTTTCCCAAAGTCCGATACCATTTACAGACAACTTGCAAATAGATTAGAAATCTCCTGAAAATAGAAATAGGAAATGACAGAGATTTCTGGAATTTGTTGATTCATCACATTCAATCATTTCGTAACACCACCTTTACCAGTACCAAGACCAGATGAAAAAGGAGGAGGGGGAGCAGTAACAAGCTTGCTAACAAACCTGGGTTCAGCTGATAGTACCCTGTAAGGGCTCCAGGGATACAGGATGTACTCCATGTTAGGAGTGGCTGTACATGGTGTCTGTTCCTCATGTCAGAGACAACCATTTCATATTGGAGCTAAGTCAGTAGTCTGCTACTGAGTAGTGCTACCAGTCTTTATGACAAAAGCAGACGTATTCTACTTCACCCAATCATGATGAATGTCAAATATCTATTCATCCCCAGCATACACCATTAATAAGCTCTACTCATCCCCAATAGACACCATCAATAAGCTCTACAGGCTTGAAACTCTTAATATGATTGTTTAGTGGAGATAAGAAATAAGAAGGAAAAAGAATAGTTACATTATATTGCTCTTACATCTTGATAAGGAACAATTTGGATTGTCTTCTTCTTATCTGTTATCTTGTTTACACACTTGATAACAGTAACTATTTAAAACATGCTTTCAATACTTTTGTCTAAAGATGGTAACAACAATGTTACTGAAACATCATTCACTATTTATTTATTTGGTCTTATTACCTTGTTGAAAATTCTGATCCCTTGGGGGCGTTAAATTAAAGCAGTTGAACTAAGTTAGGGACAGAGAAGGAAGTATAAAAACACACACAAACCCAGGAAGTTTCATTTTAGTACAGTTTCACTTTAGAAGAAAATTACAAAAGACCAAGTAAGACCCATCTGTGCTATCTTATGTTAAAGTTGCATAACCAGACACTATGCAGATAAGGTAGAACTGATTATTAATAACCCAAATAATTTCGAACTTGACCAGTTCCCTTTCAAACTAGCATTTTTTGAATTTACCCGACTAT